GTATCTTTCCTATAAATTAAGCCGCTAATGCATTTTCAATTAAACAAGGTGTAAGAGCAACCCCAATCTAAACACATTTGTGCCAAAGTTTGCGCTAGGAATTAGCGGCAAACTTTTCAGCGTGCTGAAAATTTCGTTGCCGTAAAATGCGTTGCCATGTTTCTGGTTTGCCGAACTAAGAGGAAAAACTTAATTTACGTACACACACACCCCTCTCTAAAGTCTACTTTGCTCTCGAAAATTAATAAAATGCACTGGCTCCGCATGTCTGCAATGAAATTCCGTGGTTTGCATGCCTTTATGCGCCGTGGTGACGAAGCACTCACCCAATGGCAATTACGGACTGCCATCGATATTGCAGGGTGTCCTATAATTAAGTCGATTATGGAACGCTTTTAGGAGTAATATTACTGATGTCTTTTGCTTTTGGTATGCTAGTCAAAGGGACTATTTTCGATATGTTGACAGCTCAAAAAATATGTAAGTATTTAAAGTATAAAGATGCAAGCAAGCCATACAAAGAATTTAGGGTATAACAAATATATATCCTATCCATCAGATTTCAAAAAATTGTTTAGCTTGAAAGCCTATTTTTCTCTTTGGTAACATTTTGGAAAACTTCAATTATATTATTTTACTAAACAAGTTATGATAATATCGTTTAATTAAGTAAGTATTTTAAAAACCTTGGTGTATCAAAAGAAAAATGGTAGTGACCGAAACCCATTTTCCGTTAAATAGGTCATAGTGGTTCTACTTTTTAATGTTCACCCTCGCCTTTTGGGATATTTTCCAGCTGTTCTTGCTCCATATGGGGGCTACAATTTTTTTCGGACACAGTGGCGACCCCTAGCGGCGGTCACTTGCTTTCAAAGTTTTCAGTGTATAACCAACATACATATATCCAATCAATTAGAATTATAAAAGTTTTCTGGAAACTTTTAGAAATATATAATTATAATGAAGTTCTAATATAAAACAAGCTATGATAGTATTAATATGGTTCGTATACTTAAATGCTCATTATTTTTCTTAAGTATAATAAAGACCTTGGCATATTAAGTACAAATTTTAGTGACCGAATTCATTTCCTGTGGAATAGGTTATAGTTGTTCTACTTTTTAAAGTTCATCCTTGCCTTTTGGGCTATTTTGCAGCTGTTCTTACTCCATATGGGGGCTGCAATTTTTTCAGGATTTAATTTAGCAGCACACTGGCGACCCCTGGCGGCGGTCACTTGCTTCCGCCAGGATGCCTTTGCCTGCTGTTGACATTGCCAAGGTTGTTGTTGCATGTTGCTGATGTCGCAGTCGCTGCAACTACAACACTCTTTTTGCCAGAGTGTGTGAGTGATGCTTTATGCAGGCAACAAAGAGGCCGCCAGAGTGCCACGCCCCCTACTCCCCCTTTGGAATGTCCTCAAAAACAGCTAGCTTACGTGGGGACAACCTAAAAGTAGGCAACACATATGTACGCTAGTTTCTTTTTTTTGCAGCTGCAATATTTTGCATTAATTAGAAAGTGGGCCATGTTCCGGCATTCTTTCACCCCCTTTTCACCCGCTAAGTACTGCCAACTTGTGTGTGCGGTTAGGGGCATAAACAAAATAGCTGCCGCTGTTAGCAATTCGCGTTGTTTGTCTGCGGAACCGTTAAATTAGGCTTAAAGCAACTGCCAACACGGGGCAAAACAACTTCTATGCATTGTTTTGTTAAATACTTTACGCAAATTGCCCGCTCACTCTAGGCCCTTTGTAGTTTCTGCTAATTACGTAATTTCCTCGGCCAAGTTGGGTGTTTTTACTATAGCTATTCCGCAGAATTGCAGTGCATTTCAAATGTTTTCACGGTTTATTCAGGGGGTTGTTGGATCATATATCTAACTCCTTGCTAATTGATTTAAATTGCATTCAAATTGTTCAGCACCTTTGGTTTCCTAACTTTGAATTTTGCCAAACATATTGAATTAGGTGTATCGCTATTAATTTTAAAACAAAATTCATAAAATAACTCCAACACCACTTTAATAACAATTCCTTTGTAAACCGAAAGTTTGAAAAAATTCCACAACGCAGTGTTAAAATTTTCAACAAAGTTCGAAACTTTTATTTGTTATTATTTTTCTGACTTGCAGAAATTCGGCCAATAAAATCCAATACCCGTTTAGAAAAAAGAAGAAATTAATTTAATTTGTGTCGAAAAATACCTGTCGAACTTGGCATTACCTAATGGGATTTAGCCCCGAAACATATTTATGCATAAATTCATCGCATTGTAAAATTCTATCACAAGTGTTTACGACTCGTTAACTAAACGATTTTGTGTACGAACGTGCAACAAATATTTGCGGAGATATGCCAAAAGCAACGTCGACGACATCTGATGCCATTGTTTAGCAAAAATATGAAAATATGAAACAGAATTTGAATCGGTGAAGCAGTCAACCTCTGGCAGGAACTGAAACAGAAGCCATAGCAATCAGGCAGCAACCCACATCCCTCAGATTTTTCATCTCGGAAAATTCTAAAGGGAAATGGGGGAAAATACACGCAGCTCGCTCTGGCAGAAAACTAAAAACTTTGCCAGGCATTTTGTATATACAAATATATACGTAGAAAGCATACTCTCTCTGATAAAAAAAAAGAAAACAACATCACAGCGATGCCAACAAGAAACAATTGGCTTTTATTGAAGTAAAATTTAATAAAGAAGTTTTCAATATGCTTTGGCAATATGTAAACAATCAACTCGGCTCCAAAAATCATAAATATTTTCATTACGAGAATGCAACAAAGGCCAAACTTTCGGCGACTTGAGGGTTTCTGCCTGAAGTGTCCTTGTTGTTGCTATTGTTCGGATTCGAGTGCAGCTGCCAAAATTTCCCAATATGCACTCCACAAATATTTGTATAAATTTCAGTACAATTTGTATTTCCATTTAGGGTCTCCGTTTACAAGTGTTGACAGCAAGTTTTGTGTCAAACGTCCTTATGACGAATTTATTGGACGGAGGCAAAAAGTATTATCAACACTCAAGCGTCAGAACAATCTGTAGCCTTTGGTCAGGTAACAGTTTGGGGCGACAGCGGGGAAAAGATGGCCGGGAAAAGAGAAAGGACCAGGTGCGAAATCCAAATTAATTCTAGGAGGTGAAAATAAGGTTGGAATTTATTGACCCCCAAGAAAAATCTGCTAGTTTAAATTGATTTATAGCTCAGAAATTTCCGAGGCCTGTTAATAATTTTCAGGTTTAATGTTTAAGTGACTATTTTTATTTGAATGCATTTCTGCCTTAATAAATATTTTAAATCTTTACTACTAAAGAAGTATAAAAAATTCAAAATAAATTTTAGTTTTTCTAAACATTCCTTTTTTAATCAATGTGTCTTTCCTCGCGTTTATTTATAACACCTATAGACGGGCAATTAACAAAATTTCACCTGCCATCAACCTTTACCGGGATTTTTACAGCAATCGGCCAGGCTAATTTGTTTACTGCCACCTACTGGCCCACACACACATGTGCATATTGACCAAACTAGGCCGTCATTGCCATTTATTATAATTGAACAGCGACCCGCACAAAACCAAACTGCGAACCGCCAACCAACGCAGGCATAAATTGATTAAGTTGCCATTGGCCAGGCCGAAAGATATACGGGGTATCGGGGAGATCGGGTGAAAGGGTGGCGTCCAGTGGGGCGACCATTTAAATGTGCACTTTGCGTTTCATAATTAACTGAAAATTATGTGCGTCGGTCCAGCAAAGACACAGGCCAACGCAATAACCAGAAATCACACAAAAAACATTTAGAACAAATTCGCGGTCCTAATAAAATTATGACCTAAATAAAAACATTTAAATTTAAAAATATTTCAAGAAAAGTAGATTTAACGTATGCTCCTCGTTCTTAAGTTTATATTATTTTATAATCTATTTAACAGAACACTAATTATAAATTTGTTAACTTGGGTCATAACCAAGTTAATATTGGCTTGTTGGTTAATATCATAATTAATAAGTTATTATCACAAGTACTAGCTCACAGTTTTGGGCAGTGTCTTCAGCCGGCGAAGATGATTTTGTGCTCGTAATCGGTGCAGGTCAACAAACAAATTACATTTTAAACTAATTAAAACACATAAATGTGGGGACATGATGCTGGAGCAGTCGCATCCATCCAACCACACTCACATCCAAGATAATTGCGGACATTCCGGCAGTCGGCAGTTGGCATTCAGTGATCGCCCGCCGAACTCCGTAGACCGGAACTCCGCCCCGTCGAACAGAGTCACCGACTCTCTGGCAAACTAACAACATCGGATTTGGGTTCGGAATCGGATCTATCCATACAACCACCACCACCGGCAACACCACATTGGGCAAGTGGGGAAATTACGGCAGCATTATGGTACATTATCTGCTGCAGACCCCGAAAACCCAGCGACAACTTCATTTGCCGGAGGGAGTGAGATGGTATAGGGGCAGGAAAGGGAAGGGGAGTGTAGAGAGTTGTGAAGCAGGGAAAAATTTATGTTTGACATTAACAGCAATGCGGAATTCGATGAAAAACAAGAACGAGGGAGGAACCAGAAGTTGTGGATTCAAAAAATAGTTATCTGGATCTTAGGTTTTCTAAGGATCGAAAAATATTATGCAATATTGATATTATTTTAGCACTAATGGGACTACCCCCTTATATTATTAGTAATCTGTATATTAAAGTAATCTGTATTATATAAAGGAAAGAAGTACAGTATTTAGGTTTCTTCTTGGGCTTTCTAAGAATCTGAAAATATCAATGCATTGTCGATATTGTTTCAACACTAACAGGACAACCCCCATATAATACTACTCAGTCCTAAAACATTTCCGGATCAACCCATTTGAAGAAGAATTGCAAATAACATACTAGAATAACAATTTCAGTCTATAATATACATTGGCTCGAGACTTTTTAATTAAACTTACACATGAAAGTTGAATTCAGTCTGATTCCACGAAATGACGAGGCACAAGCTATTTCTCGTTGACTAGAATTTAAATTGTCATAATTGTTAATGAGTAATTAGCGTGATATCTTTGTTAATTTAATAAGTGCGGCCTATTGAACATTTTTTTCTCCTTTTTATAGGTGAATTGTTTTAATAAAAAGTTCCAAAGAAAGTGCTAGCAGCAGAATAACGAGTAATATCAGACCCCACCCTCGGTGGGACTCAATTGTTGGCAATCGAGAGGGCTGCCTCTTGGGTTTTAGGGTCCAGATCCACATATAGTTCAGGCACGTTACCATGGCTCTATAGGCAACCTCCCCAACGCGCCCCTGCTTTCTACACTCATTGTTGCTGCTGGATGGTATGGTATATGGTATATGGTATGTTGGTGGTGTCGCTGGTGTTTTGATCTATGGATGCATGAATGATTCGCTGCGCACCGCAGCAACAAAAGCAACAACGACCGTAATGACACCAGAAAACAATTGAAATAATTCTAGCAGAAATTTTTGTTAGCTCACCGACCCAGGGCAGCCAACTTTATTCGTGGTGTGTGCGTTTTTATATTTTTTTTGTGGCTCAGTTTCCATTTCAACGTCGAACGAACGAAAAGTTGCAGCGTAAAAAAATACAATTTCGGTGAAATATTCACACATATTTCGATTTCGGGAAAACTGTACAAAAAAGGCGTACGATAATTAATAAATGCGCTTAAATGCGCCATGAACTATGCAAAAGTTATGTGCTAGAAGTGAGAGCTAAAAAGTGTGTGTTGCAAGTGGCAGTCATGTGGAATGCATTAAGGATTCAACAGTTTTTCTGGCTACTACCGATTCTCCTCCACCTGTCGCAATTTTGTTCTGGCCAACAGACCCACATAAAATTGGAGCAGGGGGATCTTATTGGGGTGAGTTCAAGATATAATAAAGGTTTAAGGAAATTACAGGAACTGAAATCGGTTATTTGCTTGCAGCTCAAGGTCTTTCCGGATGGGACACGTGGCGCTGTATACGCTTTTCTGGGCATTCCCTATGCCCAAGCTCCCCTCAACGAACTCAGATTTTCTGTAAGTTAAATATTTTAAAATATTTCAAAAATGTGCAGGATTCAAGAAGGATTTAAAAAAATCACGAGAACCACTGACTTTAACTTTACATTCTACAGAAATAGTTTAAAGTAGGTCCTAAAAATGGGAATAGGATCAAATATAATTATATATAGGTTTCTTGGTGTAAATTTCCAACAAATTTTCTAAAATGAAATTGAATTGGGAATTTCCCCTAAGGAGTACAAGACAGTAATTTATTTTTATAATTTTTATTTGTTATAAACTAAACCTTTAACAAGAACTTGACCAACTTATGTTTAAATGGTGATCCCATTAACAATATATATTATTATTTACCTTAAAACTCAATAACCATGAAGGTCGTATGAATCATTGGGGCTAAAATACTTACCATTAAACTTCCCAATTTTTTATTAACACCGTTAAAATCAAAATTGTATCTTCTCCAGCCCGCCAAACCGAGTTCCAGTTTCAATCGCACCCTGCAGGCTACCGCCATGCAGCCCATCTGCCCGCAGCTATCGAACACCATCTACGACGAGAGTTCGGATGGAGGTATTCCCAGATCGGTGGGCACAGACGAGGATTGCCTGTACCTGAACATTTGGACCCCGGAGTCGGGGCTGCGATATGGCAAGCTGCCCATCGTTGTTATTGTCACGGGTGAGGAGTTCGCCTACGACTGGCCCAGAAACCGCATCAATGGCCTGGATCTGGCCGGAGAGGGAATTGTGGTGGTCAGTGTCCAGTACCGGAATAACATCTACGGATGGCTGAGTCTGGGGGAGCAGCACCGCCACATCCCTGGCAACTACGGGCTAAGTGATGTCCGGATGGCATTGCGCTGGATTCAAAGGAATGCAGATGCCTTTGGCGGCAATCCAGATCTCATAACCCTTTTAGGTCACGGCAGTGGAGGAGCTCCTCTTGCCCTGGCTGCCACTTTGGAAGATTCCAACCTTGTTAAGAAACTGGTACTCATGTCCCCGGGTCCCGTGATGCGAACTTTGGGTCAGAACCACCAACAGCGGATAGTAGAAACCGGTCAGGTGCTGGTCCAGAAATTGGGCTGCCAGTTCGAGGAGGCCCAACGTCGCCAGCTGATGGGTTGCCTAAGGCGAAAGAGCCGAGAGGATCTGCTCCGCGCCTACGAAAGTGTCTACAATCATGGCAATGGGAGCGCCCAGCTGGGAGTGATGCTACCCGAAGGATCGACACTCGAACAACGACTTCGAAACGGAACTCTGGCTCCCCTGCTGCTGGGCATCACCTCCAATGAAGGAGCCTTCCTGCAGGACTACTGGTTGGATGTGGCCCGGGAAGGTCAAGTGGCTCTCCAGAAGTACATCAATCACACAATGCTGCCAAGTGTGTTGCGGGCACTGGAATCAGTGGGCGAGGAGAGCTCCTCCCAATTGGCGGCCATAAGATGGAGGTACTTCAATGGCAAAGGCGAGGGAGTCACCCACCTGCTGGCTGGAATGCAACGCCTGCTCTCCGAGTCCCTCTACGAACTTCCCTTCTTCCGTCTCTTGGATCTGCTAAATGGAACCACCAGTTATGCCTACGTGTTCGATCAATCCCACTCGATGGACATGAGAGGCAGGAGGAATCTTTTTGGCGGAGCTTCTCACAGCTCGGATCTTCCATTGCTCTTAGGTCCCAGTCTGTTTCAGCAGATAGCTCGTCGAAGATTCAGTGGCGAGGAGGAGCAACTGTGCCGAAAAATAAGAAGTGCCTTTGCCAACTTCATTAAAAATGGCAATCCCACGCCGGGAAGGATCTACGATGGATGGTTGCCCTATAACAAAGAAAACCCATTTGTCTATAGCCTGGGAGAGCAGATGAAGACCCCTCAGACGGGATCAGTGGATGAGGCGGAGGTGGATAAGCTGCTCAGAGGGGAGGCTGGGGTTCCAGGCCAGGATAGGAGCTTATCGCGTAGCAACCGCCACGATACCTACAGGGCAACTCCCTCCAATTCCTACACCGCCAGCAACCAACAGGATTCGGGTTACTCCAATCATTTGCAGCGGGTCCACGGATTCTGGCAGGTGCTACTCCCACTGGAAAGAGAGGAAGACCTAAGAGGAGGAGGTGCCCTCGGTCAGCGAGTGCGACTCCTGGAGGCGAGTGCCGATGCAGCCAGATACCGTCAGGGATTCTATGCCATGTTGGGTCTGGTGTGCCTACTCCTCGCCTGCCTCTGCCTGTGCGTTTACCTACTCAAACGAGACCCAAATGCCATGAGAAGACGCAGTGCATCCTCGGGTTCGGACTGCTACAGCTTATGACATAAGTGGTTTCGTTGGACGACCATCTTTGGGGACCGGAAGGACGAGATGCCCTCGACCTCGGGCATTGCCAATGTCGAGTCCTGGCGCAAAGGTGGTCGTGCAACGAAACGGGAACAGAATGGAGGCGAAGGAGCAGAATCCGGAGTTGGAGGAGGTCATCTTGAGAGGGAGCGACGAGAACAGATTCTCAATAATCAACGTACAAGACGTCCCCGCCAATTACAGCCGTACGATTTCAAGATTACCCACTCTATTGGAGGAGCAGGAACTGGATCAGGAGCAGTATTCGGAGCAGGATCTGCGGGGGCATCCAGAAATGGAGGAGGAGTCGGAGGAGCAAGAGCAGGAGCGGGATCGGGAACTGGAGGTACACTTGGAACTGTTGAGGAACTCCTGGACCCTGTCGCCGGCCAATTCGAGCCGAGTGTGGCTGTTAGGAACTGGCAATACCAGTTGACTTGTGATAAGTTCTGAAAGCAACCAAAAATGTTAATTGTAGTTTCGAATACTTATTTTTACTTTAAATGTTTACACATGTTCGTAATTAAATAAACGAATCTTTTACACAAAAAATATTAATAAATTCTCCGTTGTTTTCAAACAATAATCTAAGTTTATTTAAAAGGTATCCGATTTATATTTACAAAGAAGCTTATTAACAAATTTTCGTCAACAACTCAAAGGCACCGGTACCATTTCGCACGGGCAGGCCAACCATTAGACGACTCGACGGGGAGCTCAGCTCATCCGATCGGCCAAATCCGGCGGCGCTCCGCAGGAACTGCAAACTGGACTCGAAGGACATCTGCTGCAGGGGCGACGAGGAGTGCTCCATGCCCTTTCGCGACAGGGGCTGGAAGGTGCCGTCGAAGGTCATGTAATCCGCGATCAGCGACAAGTGCCGGCGATCCACCGTAATGCCGTAGACCTTGAACACGTTGCTCACCTCCTTGACAATCACCTGGGATGCTGCCTCAATGCCGTACGTCTTGGCAATTTTATGGATGTCATTAGAATAGAGGCGATTCAGGTCGAGAATCTTGTTGTGCTGGAACATTTCGCCAATGTTGATGCCATCGGTCTTCAGCAGTTGCTCATCATCCACGCCCTTGTAAATAATAGCCCGCTTGATGTGCTGCACCTGGTGGACCACACTTTTGCCAGCCAACTCCCGGATAATGGAAGTCAGGTCGGGCTTCTGGTAGCGCACGCTTAGACTCAACTTGACCTCGCACCACAGATGGTTTTCCTTGTCGTAGGAATAGCCCTTGACCATATCGTTGCTTAGCAACCTCTCCACCGACTTATCATCGGCATCGTTTTCCTCAGCATCTTTGCCCTTCTCCTCGTCGTCCTGATCCTCCGCCTCTTCGTCATCATCTGAATATCAATTATATAAGTTAAATAGTCTTAGGGATGAATAACAATATAAGTTTACCATTGGCATCATGGAGTTCTTCAACGTCATCTGGGTCATCGTAGTCATTTTCATCAATTTTGCGTTGCTTAAGCTTCACTCCAGTCGCGTCGTCGTCATCAGCCTTTAGAGTATAAATTACAATATAAAAGCTATTAAGATTGGTAAAAGATCAACCCACGTTATCATCCGATGAGTCGTCATCATTAGCCTTTGCTTTTGGACCACCAGCCTCATCTGCATTGTCTATATCATTATCCTCGTCTTTATCACCATCCTTTTTATCGTCTATAACAACTCTAGAAAATAAAAAGAATTAGTTAAGTAATCACGTTTCAATAGGTTGTTATTATTCTTACATTTTCGTAGTCTTCAAGGCACTGGATACCCTCAGAATGGATCGAATCAGTTGCTTGATGAATGTTTGGTGCATGTACTTGATGATTTGCTTGGGTCGCACACCATAATCCTCCTTGTATACCTCCCTGGGCAAGAACTGGAATCGCATCTCATACTCATATGCTCGCACCGGCTCCAGTGTCAAACTAGTGCTGATGTGGACAGCTACATAAGGGAATTGTCAGTAGGAACATACAGAAAAATAAAATTGCGCAGCACTCACACTCCAAAAGGTTTGCCAGAGTCACAGAATTAAGATTTATGCGCAGCTTCTCCGCCTGGTGCTGCTGACCTTTCTTTATTGGTATATCCATGGAGGGCGTCTTAATGTTGGATGAGGCCAGCATGAGAATCTCTCGAAGTCGAGGAATACCCAGAGTCACGTTCATTTCACCACGACCAGCAAAATGGAAAGTATTCAGTGTCATCTGAGTGGAGGGTTCACCTATCGATTGGGCGGCTATCAAGCCCACAGGTTCGCCAGGTGAGGCCAACGCCTTAATGGTCTTCACCCGCATGATGTCGGCTATGGTCTCCTTATGTTCCGGCTTCCTCTTAGCATAATCATCGATGAGTTTGCGCGTCCTCTCCGAAACACTGCCGTAGTAAAGATCTTGCTTGTAGACAGCCACCGAGGGATCCGGACAGCGGGCGTACTTTTTTCGATACAAAGCCTTGTCCTCGGCATCCGCCTTCTTCCACAGCTTGAGCAGACCCTCGTCGAAGCGGCGACGACCCGTCTTCCCGTTAATCTCATTGGGTCGCTTAACTTCTACCTCCTTGCGCAGCTCCTCGGAAAAGTGAGTGAACGCGGCGCGTAGCTTGGCTGGCTTCTTCTTCTGCCAGCTGCGTATGTTCTTCTCGTGGCGCATCACTTTGTTCAGTTCCTCCTCGTCCTTCATTAAATTCAGTTGACTGGGCCGCAGTATTGCTGTGGCATTCTGCGTGAGGAAATCAGAGCAGAACTTATCGTTGAAAAACTTGGACTTCAGAATGTCCAAGCCATCCTCGCCATAAAGGAACTGCACCACACTGTTGTCACTGTCGCGAACAGTGAGATCATAATGGACACTCAAGCCCTCCAAATGCTTGATAAGACAGCGCTGCAGATAACCAGAACGCGATGTCTTTACAGCAGTATCAATGAGACCCTAAAAATGTTAAACATTTAATACATGTAATCCTGTTTCTCAAAGGCATTTCAAACTTACTTCACGACCAGCCATGCAATGGAAGAAAAAGTCCTGCGGCTGAATGCCTGTCATGAAACGTCCATCGATAAACCCTCCAGACTTGGGCGAGGTCTCAAAGGAAGTAAAACTGGGCAGCGATTTTCCGGATATCATCAACGGCGGTCGCTTTCCTTCCAACTCAATTTGCCCCAGCAGGCAAGAGATTTGCATAGTGTTCACCATGGATCCCTTTGCACCGGATAGAACCATCAGTTGCAGATTGTTTGACGGGAACTTGGTAATCAGACCTCCGGGCAGACAAGTTCTGGGGAAAGAACAATTTAATATTTTGCTTTGGTGCGTTGTTATTTTATCTTACTTATTTATGTCATTTGTGTAACCATCCAAGAGAGATTTGTATTTACGATCCAAGAGCACTCGAAACTTGGAATCCTTCACATAGGCCTCTTCCATTTTCTCAACCAGCTCATCGTGCGGCGGCTCATCTTCCAAATCCAGAGCAGCAGTCACTGCGCTGTTTCCCGCATCGCGGCACTCTCGAATTATATTCCTTCTCTTTCGATCCGCTTCGCTGGATACCAAGATATCCTTGACACCCAAAGTAAAGCCCTCCAGTTGCAGAAAGAAGGTGAATACTTTGGTGAATGCGGTGAGAAGGCGTGTTGACACATCGCCGCCATACAGCTCGTACATGCAGTGGATCAAACCAAAAGTGGTGGCTCCATACTGCTGTTTATCCAGAACTCCAACCAGCAGTTCCCCCTTTCGGATTTGCACTTGGCTTTCGCTTAGCTCGTTTTCCTGGGGATTCGTTCCACAAATTGGTGGGCGCGGACGGGTCACATTCCAATTCTGCAAGGCATCGACAAAAAGGTGAGTAAAGGACTTAAAATGTAATCTAAAATGTTTTTACCTTTCCGCCAATCTTAGCAAAGGAATCAAGATTAATTCTCTCGTATCCCTCGGGAATAAGGTTGATAATGATGGTGGACAAGACCTGCTTTCCGGACCAAAGCCTCGCTGGTTTTAATATGGCCGGCGGCAACAGCTTGACGTCCTTCTTATGATCATTGAGTCCCTGAAACACCAGTTGTTGGTAGTCTTCGCGGTTGAAGAATCGGCCACGAATCGAGAGCTTCACACCCGAAATGACGTGATCCTGAATGAGTCCACCCAACGGTGTGCCGTCTTTGGGCACCAGATAGTTGCTAGCTACGTTCACTAGGTTGTAGGCCTCTGCCCTGGCCACCTCACTCTGCGGATAGTGGGCGTTCATTTCGTCACCGTCAAAATCGGCGTTGTATGCCTTGCAGTTGGAGTAGTGCAACCGGAAGGTCTTCTCTCCGTGCAGGATGCGAGCCTTGTGGGCCATGATGGAAGGCTTATGCAGCGAGGGCTGTCGGTTTAGCAGTAGGACATCCCCATTGAGAACGTGCCGATGGACGATCTTAACGCCATCCTTCGGATTCGACAAAAGCAACTTGGCCATACTCTCCCGCTTGGCCGCATTGTCCGCCGGTATGTAGGTGGTGAAGCCGTTCCTATCCTGGATGTAGTTTGCTCCGGGGTGCACGTCCGGACCGTTCCTCACCATCTTGCGAAGCTCCGTAACATTCCAGTCGGTCACGGGGACGGGATAGGATAACTTTCTCGCAAATATGTCAGGAATACCGATCTCATCCACGTTTATATTGGGATCCGGGGTGATGACAGTACGAGCGGCGTAGTTAACACGTTTGCCCATCATATGCTTACGGATTAGACCATCCTTCTTTTCAATAACTTGCTTTAAACCCTCAGCAGATTTCATATCCCGGGACATGTTCACGTCGAGGAGAACGTCAACAGAAGATTGGAGGGCCAGCCAAGCGTTATACAATTTCTCATGGGCTGTGCCGCCTTTTAGGGTCTGATAGGCGGCCGTGGCCTCCTCCGTAAGCTTCTCGCCGTTGCCTTTCATGTATCTCAGAACCACATTCAGCACATGGTTGTTCTCGATTATGTGAATGTAGATGTCCGTTTGGGGATTTCCCTTCAGCATGTCCCCGATCATGTTCATGGGACGAGCGCGTGGAGGCGTCACTGGAATGGTGTCCATAAAGAACAGATCCACCGGTGATCGATCGCCCTGTGACTCGTCCGTGTTGTTAAGTGCCAAAACAGGTACTAGAAGCTTCAAAAGCTCTGGATAATTGGCGTATATCTGGCGCATATAACGACGGCACTCGTCTGCAAAGATAACCTTGTTCTGACCACCGATTTCGGAGACACCACCAACGCTGTGAAAGGAAAGAAATTCAGTTATGCTTCTCTAAAAAAGGATATTCCTTCTTACCGCTCCTTGATGTCCGCTAGGGTGACGTAGAACACGAGTCGGCGATGCATATAGCGCACATACCGCATGGATTTGTTGCAGTGCCGGCACTTTTTGCCCAATCGCTGCAGTGCAGCATGCGTAATGGCCGTGCGCAAAGAGCAGCTGGTCTTGGTGGAGTTGCTGGAGTTCTTCTCGTTCTTCTCCAGCAGACTGTACATGGCGGCAATGGTGGGATGCACCAAATCGCCGTTACTCAGGGTCACCAGCTGGTCGGAGTTCTGGCAAACGATCTCCGACTTGAACAGCTCCAGATCCTGGGCCTCGATGATGTAGCCCGCGTCGATGAGGCGTAACTGCAGCATGATGATCTCGCATTCGTGGTCTGCAAAATCGAAACTATAAGTGTATCCCGCTGATGGAGGTGTATAGGTTACCCTTCATCTGCAGCTTGTAGCAGTGCAAGCAGAATATGCAGAGCAGTCGCTGCACCAGCTTGATGAAGAAGGGATTGTAAACGGGCGTGCTCAGCTCGATGTGGCCCATGTGTCCGGGGCAGTCCTGCAGCTTGAGACACGTGCCACAGGGATCCATGCACCGGCCGTAGGAGCCCATTCGAATGTCGTACAGACCACCGGGCATAGCGTGACCCAATGCATCGAATGTGATGCCCGTGATCACCTTCACAACGCTCAGCTTGCGGATCTCCTGTTCCGTGAACACGGCGAACTCCAGGTCCGAGGGGAACATGTGCACGTCCAGCGGCCGTCTTGCACCCATTTCGCCAGATTTAAACCACAATTTCTTATAAAAACTCAAGAACAATTGAGCGCAACAGCCGCGCACGTGTGTGGCTAATAGAGGTGAAACCACATCGATTCTAACGGTCAACTGGCTTATCGGAAGTTCCAATCGATTATGCAAGGCTCATCGCTAGCAAAACAGCTGATTTGGTTTGTTTTGAAGGAAAATTGTTTTTTCTTTGGATTCGATTTAAAAAAAGTTAAATATGCTAACTTCCATGGTTAAAGAGCACCACAAGGAGCAGGTGAAGCGAAAACAAGAGCAGGGTATGGATTCCATGCAGCTTTCCTGCTTAAATCTATAAACAAACTGCTTTTCCAGAGGTGCGACGCAAGGAGGCCATAGAAGCCTCCAACGAACTTACCCAATCCCTGGTAGACACCCTGAATGTGGGCGTGGCTCAGGCCTACCTGAACCAGAAGCGCCTGGACGCGGAGGCCAAACAACTGCACATGGGAGCCACCAATTTTGCAAAGCAGACCCATCAATGGCTGCAGCTCATTGACCAGTTCAGCAGTGCTCTGAAGGAACTCGGTGATGTGGAGAACTGGGCACGCAGTATTGAGGGGGATATGCATGTGATAAACCAGAGCCTGGAACTGGCCTACAAAGCGTCTCGAGCGGCGCAGACTGGAACTGCATGTGGAGCAGCAGCTGCTGTGGAAGCCTCCACTTCATCGTCGGCAAGGCCAAATCCTAGTGCTACATAACTACTTTTAGGTTTACTCTCTGTTTCCAAATAATTCATAATATATTTTACTAGTTTTCTGTTTTGGTTATAACGCTTAAGGAATTTGAAAGAAATACATTTAATCCTGATTCCTGTTGTTAAATAAATTGAATTTAAGTTAAGATTCCTAAATTCCTTAACAAGGAAATCTATTAATAACTCATGACATACGCACTTCTGTCACTCAGAAAGACCAATTCAATAAATAAAGAACAAAAGACTCAACTTTCTGTACAATTTCAATTTTATTTTGTACTTGCTGCACAATTATAATTATAATTAAAATTAGTTTAGTTTTGTTATCATTATCAGTTTGCTGCGGTTCTTTTAAAATACATATCACAATCTATGCGGACCTCTGTATGTAATGTTGGTAATCGATCTGATATTTACAAACTACGTTTTTGTACAGCATCAATGACGGTTAACAAATAATTATGATAAGAAGCTGTTTTGGGTGAATAATGAATTTGGAAATTAATCTAGTTGTGAGCTGTTCGCCAACCAAATGCCATAGATGGGATGGTTTCACCAAAACACAATATTTCAGTCGTATGCTTCTCCGCAGGCCGTTTGACACAGTCCAATTGGCTGGTTAGAAGCACGAGTTAAGGAATCACCTCCGGCGCGCACTAGTAGCGCGAATGGATGCGACCTGGTTGGGAAATACATATTACAAATCTTGCTGAAGGACAATACAAAATATCTCTTACGAGGCTTGGGCGAACGTGAGCGGCTGTAGCTTTTGTTGCGGTAGCGCTGGCGACTGGAACTCCTGCGGTAGCTGCGCTCATAGCGATCGTCGCGGTAGCTGTTTCGGCTACGATAATTGTCAGTGGGCGACATGGTACGCTCGCGTTCGCGACGACGATCGGCCCGTGGCGAACGGGAGTGCCCCAAGTGTCCACTGCGCGAAGGACGACCCATATAGACACCCGGAGTAGGAGTGTGGGCGCGTTGGGTTATGGAGTAGTCAACGCGAATGCGACGACCATCGACCTCCATGCCGGAACAGGCGTCCTTGGCCACACGGGCATCCTCGAGATTCTCAAAGTAGATGAAGCAGAAGCCCCGCGAACGATGGGTCTGTATGGCAAAAGATTTATTAGAGGGTTGCAGAAATATATAGGATTATGTTGGCAATCCTAAAACTTAATAATGAAAATGTGACGGCAAGCCTTTAGCTTTTAATTTGGATTACACAAAAGCTCACAATCGCCGTCTACTTTAATCTAGCCAGAAATGAGGACAAAACAGCAAGGCTTCAAGCTGATTTGTCTACTCGAAGATATTCCGGCAGGAGTTGTCTTAAGGGGAGATATGAAAACCAATCTTACATGGGCGTCGATGACCATCTGGATGCGCTCGATGGGTCCGTACTTGTTGAAGAGCTCGCGAACCTTGTGCTGCGAGGTGTTGGTGTTCAGACCAAAGACTCCAATGCAACGGCTGGCCTGGGGATGTTCCTGCAAGTGCAGAAACCTCCGGATTAAGAATCAGGAAAAGAGATTTGTGATCCGGCTGACTTACGCGAGCCTTGTGCATCCCGTGACGGTCGCGGGACGAGCGTCGGCGGGGTGCCGGAGGCGGCGACTCCGAGCCCAAACGCGAACGGGAGCGCCGACGGGAGTCGGAGCGGGGATGGTGACGATCGCCATGGTAATCGAAGTCCGACCTTGATTTGGTGTGGAATGGAATGAAATTAGATTCTTGCGCGTCTTGCTAACTGACAGTTGGAAAATTGTGTGTTTCGTGTGGCTTGACAATTGGCATTGCATTATTCTGTTCAATTCAATTCGACCTATGTATTTCGGACCTATTCTTGGGCTGTTGAACGGGCCAAACAAATTAGTGCTTCGGTGGGGTTCTTACATAGCAACGATGGTTTCTTCCAGTGAAAGGAAATCTGCGGAGCGTCAAATTTTTTTTTCTCTAGGCACCAGCTTGCTCGGCTGAAAGGCGAATCCAAATGAAAGGCCCCCGTTGACAGTTGAATACTTTTCCCAAAGGCTACTCGATGCTCGGTGTCAAAAGAGGTATCGTTTAGGAGGGGCTCGGCCCCCGAATGTGTGTACACATTTACCTGCGGTCCTTGTGTCCGGAGGAGGTTGTCCTGGCTGACGAGGATGATGCCGAGGACCGTTTCTGTTTGTAGCTACTGCTGCAACTAAAACTCTCAATACTGCATTTTCTCAAGGCATCTATTTTTTCGGCTTACCTGTCGAATTTGCGATGTAAATAGCTTCGCTCTTCGGAGGAACGCGAGGACTTTGGTGGTAGAAAAAATATTTGTAGTGGGTGTGCACTGCCCTGGGGTCTCGAGTACTGTACTTACCATCTTTAAGGGTTCGATTCCCTGCTGTATTGCACACCCAGACAGTGTTTATCAATTAAATGTTAGCGTTTAGTTCAATGGAGTGTTATTTATTCTGTCTGCTTTTTGAGAAGACGCACGCTACGGCAGGGGTGGCGATAGGCGAGGGCGTGTGTTATCGATAGACACCTTAACCTTTACTCGGCCGTTGTACTTGAATCCGAAGATATTCAAAAAGTGTGTATATTTATTTTAGATATTTCGTTGTTTAAAATAAAGCCGAAACTAAGACTTATATTTGCAGAAATCTTATATAGCATTTTTACTACGCTTACCACAATATTTTGTACTTTATTAACTGTAAGGCCATTCTGATAAAGAGTTTAAGTCACAAATTAATGCTAATTAATTCTAAATCACAGTGGTTAGTCAATAACTTCGAGCTATTTATAACGGTGAAACCACATATGCTTCACCATAATGTAGTTATAAAACCTCTGCTGTTCGAGGTGATGCAGATCCGTAATAGTTTTGACCACACGCTCGTCGTTAAAGTGACTTTTAGGCGGGGCTTCCAGAAGATTTCCATTTGTAAACCACTTGAGCTCCGAAAAGTGCTTCTTTACACTCGCCCGCAGAGCAGCTCCACTGAAGACTGGCGTGCGATACAGGTCGAACATATTCTTCTTGCCGTACTTCTGGTGGATCTCGCCCACCGTTTTGTCCAGTTCCGGCTGTTTGCAGAAATATATCACCCAGAGTTTACGCTCAGGCGCACGCAGATCTTTCAGACTGAGAACCCCAAAGTACTCCACTATGTAGGGGTTACATTTCGGGGAGTCACATTTTGGTTTTATGTAGAAAATACGCCTCAAGTGGCTGTCGACCTCCTCTTCCAGGTCGTAATCAGTTTCTGCAAAGCAGGTGTTAGTCATCAGCAATGTCAAAATTTAATATTTTTTATTTTGTTTACCTGCGTTGGCTGTCATCTTCTTGTACAATGAGGTAGCTTTAACTTGGTCCGGCTTAATGTGACTCTACTTCTCACGCACAGTTCTTAAATACCCCCAAAATAATATTTCAACTGGCTTGTAATTTGGTTTGTTTACGATTTGCAATTTCACAATAAAGTATAGAGCTTTCAAATGCAACCCTGCTATCGATAAGCAATAAGCTTTTTTATTTATTTGTTTATTATTATTTACATTTTTAATGCCGACTAGGGGGTGGTTTTTGGTCATTGTACCGCTTAAACCATTCGTGCTGTACCATTATGTAGTCAAAGAGCCTTCTTTGCTCCTTATCGTGAAGATCTGAAACTGTTTTGACGAACATTTCATCATTATAGTAACTGTTTGGAGGCGCTTCCAAGAGATTTCCACTGGCAAGCCACTTTAGTTCAGAGAAATAATCTTTCACGATCTTACGAAAACCCACTCCGCTAAAGGTGGGCTTCTGATATATTTCGTACACGTTCTTTTTGCCATATTTCTGGCGGAGACTCTCCACAACGTCGGGAATTTCTGGCTTCCGACAGCAATAAATGCACCAAAGCTTTCGGTCAGCGGCCTGGGGATCACTAATACTGAAAACTCCAAAGTACTCTACTGCACCCAAATCCAAGGGAGTGGGTTCAGCATTTGGCTGCAGATAAAAGAGACGCCTCCAATACTTCTCCATTTTATCTTCCAGGTTGGGCCTATTCCCCGCTGTTAAATGACAATTAAAGCCAGTTCAAAATATAAGGTGATTCATACAAGGTTACCCATTGATAAACAACAACTGTCGACTTCCAGTCCCAACAGAACACTGTTAAACATTTACTCGCAGTCTTGTATTTATAGCTTTAAATAAATCTTATAGAATAAATAAGAGAAGCATCTTCTATGTATTAAGATGTACGTAGGACCATGTCTTGTAAATATCGTTCGTAGACACTAGGTAATCATAATATTTTCGCCTTTCGGCCTGATACAGATCTGCGATAGTGTTTACCACCTTCTCATCGTTGTAAGAGCTGTCGGGTGGGGCTTCCAAAATGTTTCCTTTCACGTACCACTTTAGTCCTCCAAAGTGATTTTTAACTCGGGATCGCATGCCGGCGCCAGAAAACACCGGTTTTCTATACAGCTCGTACATGTTCTTTTGTCCATATTTACGATGAATCCGATCCACAGTTTTGTCTACTTGATCCGTCGTCGCATAGTACATATACCATAGCTTTCGACGAGGAGCTCTAGTATCGGTTAGGCTGAGGACCCCAAAATATTCCACTTCATTCGGATCATACTCATTCTTTGTATCGATTGCCTTCAGCCCATACATTCTTCGAATATACTTCTCCAACCGCTTTTCCAAGTCGGGGTATGCACCTAACGGTTAAAAATATCATTAAAGTATGTAGTTTATTAAAGAAACTATTTAACTATTTAACTTACTGTTGGGAGTATTCATTGCTTCCTGAGTAGATGTCGTCATTTTGGGAAACTTGTGGCTAATAACAATGGTTCTACCCTGTTAGACTTTTATACTTTGTATTTGTTTATATTTCACAAGAGCTTTTCCATTTCGAAACAAACTCGAAAGCTTATTAAAAAGCTTATGGGCGCTATATTCAAACTTTATTTTAATAATTTTCACAAGATTCTTCTCATCTATAACGATTTTCAATGTTGTTTAATATTTCATTTGTAAAAAAACGCGTTTCTACAAAAATACGGCAACTTTTAATTTTTAAAAAAATGTTTAATTTAAAGTTTATTTTGTATAATTAGTGTTGTGTTATGTTTAATTTGTAAGACTTACTTCTAAAAATATACACTTTCATATTTCAAAAACGCACAGTGTTTACACATTTTATCCATTTATTTTCAGAAAAATTACCGGATGGTCGATAGTTTTAACAAATTCTTCATAGTAGAATTACATAATTCTGTTTTTGCGTTCAACGAAATAATTAACTCTTCTTAATTAACTGTGTTAAAGTAACTTAGAATACTTTCCATCTGGTTTATAGTCTTTACTCCGCTAGATGATAGCCTCCGAAGAGTCGTCCAGTTCGCCCTTGATCTCTGCATCCATGGGCTCCACGGTATTGTTTGAGTCGGGCAGGATGCTTTCCTCCGGCTGCGAGACCTGGTTAATGATAAACACATTCGGATTGGAGGTGCTACTGAGACTCATTCCGGCGGGGGCTACAAGTGGGGCGGCATCTGGTTCTGAGCCGGGAGTCGCTTTTGGTGTCGTTGGAGCTGCCGATGTAGATGCAGTTGCATCGGGTGTTGGTGTGGTCTTGGTCTGAGTGGCCGTTCTTATCGGCGTGGTTTTCTTCTTGCATAGCACGGGTCTCTTCACAGGTACCGGAGGATTAACCGATGTTATGGTGCTCACTGACCCTGTTTTTTTCCTGACGACTATTTTTGCTGGTGTTGGCTTGTTCCCTGACACAGTAGTGTTGATACTTCCGGTCTGAGGGTACAAATTATTGTTAATAAAAAAAAATACACAAGATTTTTTGTCATAAATATAGATACCTGGCTTGTTTTTCCTCCAACACTTTTCCTTCCTCCCTGCGTGGACCGCAATTGCACCTTTGCTACCCCCGCAGTTGAGGATGTGGATGGCCTTACAGGCGTGCTGGTGGCAGCTGGAGCGACCTTTCGTGTCACAGACGGTGGTATGCCTCTCCCTTTTGAGGGACACTGAAAGCCGATGATGTTCTTGTGCTCATCGTACAGGGGAATACTGGTGGGTAGGGAGCTGCGCGGTTGAACATGCTGCACGGTTTTCTTTGCTCCCTGAGTTGGGGTAACGGAGGAGGCGGTGGCGGTGGTGGAGCTCACGATACTTTTGGAAAGTGTAGAGCTAGTAGTGGCGATTGATTTTGGTGGATTATCAGCGGTGGAAGTCGACTTTGTAACCACTGGGTTGATTTCGGTCTGCGGCAAGAGCGTACTCGGGCCGGTTGCCTTGTTCAAGTAGTTCACGTAGTTCTCTAATAGCTTAGTACCGACATCTACGTCGATGGCCATCAGCGAGCTGCTCCTCACGATCTCCTCGATGGTACGCTGTCTCTCGGCCACTGTTAAGGTGGCTACCCGCCGGCTGAGAATCTGGAGAACCAGGTCGAAGGCTTGAACCTTTGCTTGCAGATCCACGCGCTGCTTGTCGGTAGGGCAAATCGCTGGCAATTGGATGAGTGACGGTGGCGGATTAGTTACCGTCGAGGATCTGGGTGGTGCCGGAACTGCAGCCCCTGCTGGCACAACTTTCGCGGTCAGCGTCGTCCCACGTGGCAACTGTTTGGTCAGAGAATCTAAGTGGTTCGAAGGCAGCTGGGAAGTAGAAGCTATTGCGGGAACAGCGGAAGTGAATTTGGATGGATTCGGTGGGTCAGTAGGAGCAGCAACAAGAGCGGTAGTTGGTGGAAAAGCGGTAGCGGGCGTAGGAGCCGTAACAGTTGGTTTACTGAGTTCCCGTCCCTTAGCTTTTCCCAGCGATTCCAATTTAGCCCGCACCTTACTCGGAATATTCTTATCCGCCTTGGAAATGAACTTTGTGGTGATGACCAGAAACTGCGGAATCTCCAACACCGGTACCTCGGCGGTCGAGTGCAAGCGCGTGAAATCAATGGCTCGCATTGGTCCATCCAGATTTGGACAGCAGAAGTCCAGACCCACGTTGTCGTAGGATCGCTTGTAGCGCATTGGGTAGAGGAAGGAGAACATCTTGGTCTGGCCAATGGAATTGGGATTACCAGGCACACTGGCTGAAGGAATCAAATGGGATACACTCGCGCCAGAGGAGGTGGAAGCTACCACATTGTTGATTTGAATAGTGTTGGGGCCACTGTCCTCAATCATCGAAAGTGGTTGCGGTGTTACTGGCGCTGGAGCACCCACTGGCAATGGCACAATAAGAGTATCCTCTCCCATGACCTCCGGCGGATCATCTTCTGGCTCTGCTTTCACCTCTGGAATTGGGACAGGAAGTGGCATTGTTTTAGCGTGAAACATTTGCACCCTTCGCTGATCCGCCAGTTTCTTGGCATTGCCTTCCAACGTTTCGTCGTCGGTAAGATGTTTATCAGTCAGCGGATAGATAGCTGTTTTTTTCACGGTTGGTCTAGGAGGCGGGGCTACGTTCTGGGCTTTTGCGGAAACGGATGGAATTGCCGTTGGAGTTAGCTCAGTTGAGATTTTTTTTACAGGCAATTCTGGCGCCCGAGCTGGGAAAGCACCGCGCTCCGGTTCTACTTGGGGCTGCAGCATTGTCTCTGACATTGACTCGCCCGCAGAATCTGTTTCAGAGGTCGCTGGTGGTGGTGATGGTAATTTTTTAAAGGCTGCTTGTTTCTCGCGGCTCTTTTTCTCCCGAAGCCATTTGTTAAAGACGCGTCGATTGATTTTAACGCGAACCTTTCTTAGCTTAGCTTTCTGCTGAGTTGGTTTAGCCGTTGGAGAAACTGCTAGAGGATCAACCGTAGACAAACCGACATCACTTATTTTCACTGGAAAGGCAACAAAACCAGTCTCCTGGCTAGGATCATTTTGCTGTGAGAGATCGTCCCTGGGTCGCTTAGAATTGGCCACTTCATTAGCGTCTGCAGCTTCATCTGCCTTCCTTTTCATAGCGAGTTTGGCCTTTATTCCACCACGTCCACGACCCTTTAAAGTCTTTCTGAAGGTCTGGGATTCCATCATTGGTGATTTTTGGTCCAAAGCAGGCGTAAAGCACTCCTTGGATGCATTTAACTGCATAGGAGTTGGCGTCGCAGCCAATGATCTGTTGGTGCTGGCAGCTCGTGTCATGTGAACCGACTTATTTAAGGTAAATTGGCGTGTCGGCACTGTCACGGGTTTATCAAATTTATCCAAGCGGGATGCGTGCGCACTGTCATCCCGAGAAGAATCCCTCGATTCAGATGCAGTTTCAGCCTCCAAGGAAGGAAACTCTGGCTTGGGTTTCGCCTTACGCTGATCGGATTTAGTTTTCTTGGAGGAGGCGCGACCACGGGCCACTGGCCCTGTTGCCTCGGCTTTGGCTGCCTTGTCAATTTCCTCGTTCGACGCAACTTTAGGAGGAGCATCCAATGGCCGGGCTTCGGTTTTCTTCGGGACACCTTTTTGTAGAAGTAATTTTCGAACATTCGCAGACAAAGCAGCTCCTTCATGTTTTCTAGCTTCAATTTTCTTCAGGACATCTGTTTCAGGAAGTAGTTCCCGAGCAGTTGCTGTTAAAGAAGCTCCTGCAGATTTCCTGGCTTCGATTTTCTTGGAGCGATCCACTTGAGGGAGAGATTTACGGCTACTGGATTCTGACACAGATCCCTCTGTAGTCCTATTCACAGCTTTCTTTGGGGCTTCTGATTGAGGAAGTCCTTTTCGCGCAGTCGCAGCTAAAGAAGCCGATTTCTTAGATGGTTCTGCATCTTCCTCCGACTTTAGGGATTTATTTTGAGAGCCTTGTGATAATGCCTTCTTCTTGACCTCCGCCTTTTTATTGGCCTCCAATTTTTTGGACGACTTCTGTGATGCAATCTGTGTTTTTCGCGGCAAAACTGGTGACGTTTCGGGAGTGGCAGCAGTAGCGTTAGAAGCCTCTGCTGCATTTTCGTTTAAAGGGACCACTGAAACCGAAATGTTAACCTTTCTTGGAGCAGCCGACGTTACGTCCTCCTTCGGAGGTTCAATTGCCTTACTGGGTGGCAAGGATTTCTTAGTCACCACAATGGAGCTGCTGAGTACTGGATGATCGACGGGCTGGTTCTCTGTGGCTTCCGATTTGCTCAAAGATTTCTTGGATGTCACAGGAGAACCATCCTCTCCCAACGAGGGTTTATGTAGACTAAGAGTGGAACTCAGCAGGGTCTGCACCAAAGGCTTTTTGACCGTCGGAGTAGGACTACTAGACTTCACCAGCTTTCTGGTGGGTGGGGTTAGTATGACGTGCTTGGTGATCTCAATATGTTTTGAATCCCTTGGCGCCGGCTTTCTTACAGCTGAAGATGTCTTGGCCGGCTCGCTTCTCGCTTCCTTAATAGGCGGCTTCGTGGATGACATGATGGTCTCATTACCAATGATAGAGATGAACTTGGCCTTTGAATTGGTTTTGATTTCAGTGTCAACTTTGGAGCGTTTGAGGGCAGGTCGCTCTTCTTCCTCCACTAGATTGCGACGGCGAACTGCAATTAAAATTGATATAAATAACGATTACGATAAAAACGGCGAAAGTGAAATTTAGCCAGGAATTAATAAGGTTAAAAATTTAACGAAAGGTTAAATGCGAGGTATACGCAAATACTTTATGAATCGACCAAATTGTGTATATTTAAATACATTGTGCATATACTGGATATAGTCGCCTTTTATACTGAAAATAATCCTAATCAAAATATAGGACTCACCTGTTTTAAGAACCTCCCGTCTGTCAGTTGCGGACTTCTCCATTTCTTTTCGTAGTTTTCGCTTAGCAGCTTCTGTATAAAGAGAAAGGATTAGAAAGAAAATATTTATTAGATACGTTTATATACTAAGAATAAATAATGAAAGGATTAGTCAAGCTATTAACCATCTGGCTGTGAAGAATCCGCTTCCCGCTTACGCAAGCTGCGCTTTACCACGCTGGACGTGCTGGCCTCGGGTTCGTCTGTGACACTTGTTGTTTCCGTTGAGTCTGGGATTGGGCTTTGAGCGGGTTCTTCATCATCCGTAACATCAGTTTCAGGTTGCGAATCAACTGATTCAAAGTTAGAAAACTCCTTGTCTTCAATGTCCTCCACAGCGGGACATGATTCCTCAGTCAAGACTTCATCATCAGGTTCTTGATCTTGTTGTGCCTCTTCTTGATTTTCATCTTTTAGGGATTCATCACTTGCAACGTCCACTTTGGGCGGTTCCTCTTTTAGGGTATCCCCCTCTTCACTTGTGGAATTAAATTCCTCATTCTTAGATTCCTGTACAACATGAGCACTATCTGTTGGCTCATTTGTTGGGACGACCGCATTGGATTCTTCTGTGATGAGTTCTTCAACATCGGCAGAAGGTTCCTTAACTTCAGAGTCTTGGTCCTGATCGGTTTCTAGATTATCATTTAGTTCATTCTCAGGGGCGTTATTCACTTTTTCGGGTGTTTCTTTAGGAACTTCTTCATTTAGAATTTGAGTAGTTTCTGGAACCGGAACAGTTTCTTGAACAGGATCTGACACAGGATCCGTTTCCGTCTCATTATCCCTTTCTTCCGTGTCCTCTATAATTTTTTTTAATTGTTTTGTTTTAAAAGGAGTTTTCTTAAGGACGGACGATTTCCTTGTTCTTGGCAGATTAGAAGTGGGAGTTCTTTTTATCAGAACGCGAAGCTTGCGACAAGAGACTTTTGGAGTACTCAGTTCTTTTTGTTTTGTAGAGGTCAAGGATGCAGAACCTAAGCTAGGACTATCCTCATGAGTGTTATCAGGCTTCCTAGCCACTTTCGGAGCACGACGTTTGGATTTTGAAGATCTTTTATTTGCCCTGAAGGTCTTTTTGTTTCGAGCGCTGCTTGTTGTCGGAGTGGTAGGTAAAACTAATTGAGAATTCTCCGTTGAGGTACTCGGAAGAATGGTCACCGGACATTCTGTATAAGTTTCGGCAGGAATTTCGCTCGGATCTAGGTCAGGTTTGCTTTTAAGTTGTTCTTCAGATGTGGTTTCCAACTCGTCTGGTTTCGTCATATTTTCCGAACTGTCTAAGGACGAACTCATTAGGAATGTTTTTGTTGGTGTCTTTCCCGTCTGAAAATCAGGTTCAGGTTCAAAAAGCTCCTGTTGACTAGAAATGGTAGGATTATCTTTTTCGTTAAGCTCAGCACTCTCATAAGCATCTTCAGGATCCTCAATGGTTACTGCCTGCCTACGTTTTCTTATCCTTCCACTTTCTATTCCAGAGACTTTTGGATTGTCCTTTGATTTTTCCGTTTTTTCAACGGGCGCATCCGATGCAGAAGATGTTGGTTGAACCGATTCCGTACTCTGTTGCGAATCCTTTTCCTTAATAGATTCGACAATGCTTTTATTGGGTTTCTTACCCTTATTCTTGGGCTTTACTTTTAAAGCATTGGACTCGATTGAATCCTGTGAAGAGTCGTTTAAAATTGGTTCAGGGTCCTTTTCGACTGTAGGACATTCGGAAGATGTAGGTTTATCGCTTTCCGTTAACTCTGATTGCTCCTCTTGATCAAGCTTGTCAATTTTCTCACTAGCGAAATCATGTGCAGAGTCTTTTGGTATTGGAACCAATTCTGCGTCAGAAGGAATGTCTTTTATTGTGTCCAATTTAATCTCCGGCTCATCCATATTTTCCTTTGATCTGGCTTTTGACGATAGTGTCTCAGGATCTGATTCCTTTTGACTTGTACTGTCATTTGTTTGCTTGTCACTTTCATTGGTTTGCTTGTCACTGTCACTTTCTTCCATACAGATTTCATTTGTTTTGATCTTGCTTTTTGATTTTGCCTTCTTTTCCTTGCTGGCTTCTAATGACTTTTTAGACTGCTCTTGGGCCAGATCCTTTTTGAAAAGCTTTTCTTTTGAAATAACTCTTCTTCCAGTAGCCTCAGATTTGGCGGATGGACTTTCGTCGTGCAGGGGCTTGGCCGCTTCAATTATCGCCTTGTCTCTTCGGCTCAGTCTGCCAGAAGCTCGCTCTTCTTTATTAGCGACAGTTCTAGATGGATTCTCTTCACTTTTAGCGTCAACATGGTCAGAAGGAGTATCGCTATCAGGTTTGCCTTTTTCCTGCATTGCTTTTCGAGATTTTCTGCGATTGGAAGGCTTTTCGTTAACCTGTACCTTATCAGTTTCCCGCGCTTTGGACGGTTCTAAATCCGGTTTGGTATCATCTTCTGAAGGGTCTGGAGGTGATAAATTTTCCCTTTCGTCTTTTTGCTCTGACTCGCTTGAAGTTGAATATTCTTCAGCACGTTTTGAAGTAGAAGGAATCTCATCGCTTATATCGGCAGTTACTCCTTTACTTTCGACTCCTTGGGTTCTTCTGGATTTTTTCGACTTCAATGACCTACCCGTTGCTTTCTTTATTTCAGTCTCACTAGAGCTTTGTTTGTCTTCTACCAGTTTGGAAGTATCTGCAACTAGATTGTCTTCAGCTATGTTAGCATCCTTTACAGTCTCATCTGGATGCGAATTTCCCTCTACCACCTCCTTCTTTTCTGCAGTTTTCTTTTCTATGGCCAACTTGGAAGTTGTCACTTTCCTTTCCGCCGGAGAGCGTTCTTGTGAGGAATGGCTTTCCCCTGGCGATTTCCCAAGTCTTGGACTGCTTCGTCTCGATGACTCATCCACAAGTAGAGCAAGTTCTTTTCTCCGAACTATCTTGGATCGACCTTCCCTTTGCTTCTGGGGAGTTACCTTATCTGACCTAAGCGCTCTTCTTACAACGGAATTTTCCACAGCTTCGAGCTCTCTCGATTTAATGGGCGTATTAGCTGGCGAAGAGGGGTTTTGTTTCTTAGTTGGAGAAACTAGGCTTGGAGGAACTTCAAAAGATTGCAATGGCTCATCCTTAGGATCTTGGTCTTGCTCCTCGCCAGGTTTTTGTTCTTTTGCGGTAGGCGATTCCTCTTTGGGTTCAGAATGTTTCTCATCAACAGAAGTAGAAGACTGCTCCTTATCAGGTTGTTCATCCTTAGTAGTATTTAGTTCTGCAACTGGAGTCTGTTTATCATCTGAAGTTTGTTTCTTAACCGGAGGCTGTTTATCAACTGAAGTCTGTTTCTCATCTGGACTTTGTTCATCAGATAAAGTTTGCTCTTCAACCGGTGAAATTTCTTCCTTCTGGCTGTGTGTTTTTGGTATTGATACGGCTTCTGAAATCGTTTCCAGCTCCAGCTCTTTGACAATTTCAATTACAGGATTTTGTCCTCCCTCTACTGATGCGACTGATACCTCATTTACTTCAATTCCTTTTCCAGCTTCAGCTGCCAAGATCTCTTCAGCCAATTTTATGTCCTCAGCCAGCTGGGAATCACTTTCCTCAAGTATATTTCCAGAGTCCTCCATTGCCTTTATGTTAGCACTTGCAAGTACAGCAGGTAATTCAACAGCTTCAGTATCTTCAATTGAATTTTGTATATTAGTAATTTCCTTTATTGCATCTTCATTGCAGTGCTCTAACTTTTTAATGGCAGAGTCCTTCTGAGTATCCTCTGTTCGTGAAACTAAATCCTTATCTTCCAATTCATTTAGGCTTTCGCTTACTTCGCCGCGATCCTGTGCGGTATCAAATGTATCGGTAGATGTGTCAAGTGTAGGAAGCGGTTCTTTGTTCATATTCCCAGCAGACTCTTCATCCAGCTGAACATCCAAGTCCGGGGCACTTTTGAGATCCGTTTTAGTTTTAATATCATTCTGGGGTAAGTTTTCAAATCCTGTAAACTCTTTGGCTTTGTCTAACTCTGTGTTTAGTTCATCCTGCTCTAGTGCTTCTTCCAAATTGGCCTTCTCCTTTGTCGCTTCTGCTTTGCTCGCTTCCGTTGAGAGAGGAATATCTTTGTCCAAGCTTTCGGTTGGAGTTTCAGCAGCCCCGTCTTTTGGCGTCTCCTCTTTTGAAACAATTTTACGAGGCCTTCCGCGTTTCTTTTTGACCGAAAGTTCCTCCCCTTCACGGGCATTAAGAGTCGTTTCCTCCGTGGTGGCAGCTCGACTTTTACGCTGCTTTTGGCTTCGAGAGCGTCCACGCTTAGGGAAAGACTCGCTCTTCGACCGCCGCAGCTTGGTCCCCGAAGGTTCAGGGTTATCCAGTCGTTCGCTGGAGTACGTGAGCTTGCGCACATGGCTCTTGTCTGAATCCGCTGGGATCTTGGATCTTGATCTGCTGCGCGGCTTTGATCCAGATCGCTTTTCGAACTCGTACGAGCGCTCCACTTCGATCTCCAATATCTGCTCGGCCAGGTCAAGGCTCATGCGCTCCACCGCCTCCAGCGTGACATTGTCATCCATGTCGTACAGCTTTCGACTGGCGCTGGCTTTGCTGGCCGAGGATTTGGCACTGCTGCTGGCCTCTGGTGGCTCCAGTTCTAGATCCCGCTCCATTTCCTCCACCTCCTCCTTGTCACTGGCTGCGAAACAAAAAGCAGACAGAGTTACAAATGTTAGGGTGTGGCAGGGTTAAAGGTTCATGGGGGCGCTCATGGTCGAGAAATGGTCGCCCCAATGGACGTCGGTGCACACTTACCCGCTGATCGCTTATTAGCATGCTTAACCTGTTCGGAGGAAGAGGGTTTCTTTTCATTGGAGCGGGATTTCCTAGCGCTATTCTGTTTCTTATAGATTGGCGGCGCCTCGGCGCAACTGAGATTACTCAAGTACAACTGAAGGCGCTCATAGACGCAGTTCAAAACAGACTCCTGATCACTCTCAGGGCGCGTATTCTGCTCATTCTGCTCCATCTGCGGCTCCTGGCCCTCGTCGTCGGAAACAACAGGTGTCACAGTGTCTACACGGTTTATGTGTGTTTACATATTATGAATATTATCAGAGGGTTGGCAGTATCAACTAGTTAATAACGCTGACTTACCCGCCACCGAGGTGGTCCTGCTTGTGTCCGTTGAAATGTCGATCACCGGTTCGGCGTCCTCGTCCTCTGAGTCGCGATCGCCATAGAAGTCAGATTCGTATTCGTAGGACGAATCACTGTCTGAGTCACTATATAAACCTCCCAAGGCTGTTAAGAAAACAGAAGGATTAGACATAAACCCCTATAGCAGTAGAAATATCTTACTTAAGGGATCTGTTTTTGGCTCGTGCTGCGGAGGCGTCAGATCTGTTTTCTGGGCCTTAATGATGGTAACTGTCTTATTTTTGGCGGGCGCAAGACTACTGCCATTTACAGATCCTGACGACTTGGTTGCTGCAGAGGTGGAATTTTTGATCCCAGCATTTTTGGCTGAGGGAGGAGCCAGTGACTTTCTGGCAAAATTGCTGCTACTACTGCTGCTGTGGCTTTTAGGTGGGGCTTCGCCGAGGGATTTCCTGGCACCTGCCTGGGAGGTACTGGGCTTTGGTACAGTCGACCTCTGCGAGGGACGCAACAGGGCTTCGCCTGGGGTTCGGGATATTATATACAAATAAGTTGCAAAATGTGTAATTAAGAGGATTAAGGAGTACCCACCCAGGTCATCCACCGAATCGAAAGACTCGTAGCGCTCGCGCCTCCTAATCGGCTTGGATTTGCTGCTCTTCCGGCTGAAAAGCGCTTCAAGGGCATCGTTCGATTCGTCGCTGGAGGAGGAGGGGGACGGGGAGCGGCGACGCCGGTCCTGGGGCTTTGAGCCTGAACCCTCATTAAACAACTCGTCGTCGAGGTACTTGCCGGGGAAGAGCTTCTGGAAGATGTCCGCATCGATCGACGACGAGTTGCTAGAGTCTGACGAAATGCGACGCTGACGCGAACCGCCGGCAGAGGTAGTTGGCGGAGCACCCGATTTGATCCCTGCAATCGCAAAAATTACACGGACATTGCACATTGCATGCTTATTTATAGCCCAGCGAAGGGGATTTCACGTACCTGGCAGCACCAAGTCTTTGTACTCGTCTAGATATTCTATGTCCTCCATGTTTCACTTCTCATGTGCGTCGCTCGATGTGCAATATGTGAACTGCGCCGCGTTTCGCAAAAGATAGTCACAAAAAATGTGATAAACTCATCGATTGCCTAGCGAAGGGGATATATTACCCATTGGGCGCACCACGCCAAGCACTTTTGTCTCTTTTTTCACCAAAAAAAAATCCTTCAAAATCAAGCAAAAATGATGCCGCTGCAATTAACGTGAACGTAGTGCCGATGTGCGAAAATGCCGAAGCGTTTAGTGAGCCCGCGCTTCGGTGTGGCCGCGCGCGTTCCCTAATGTAATTGCTTGATTTTCAAGTCACAGGTGCTGTATTTTACCGTACTTATTGCTTTAAATCGTTCCTGACATTTTTAAAATCACTAGTTTTTTGGCAATTAATTTGTGCGCGTCTAGTGAATTGCGCTTGCCCGGCAAACATTTCTAAAAATACCTTTATACACAGTTGCTTGGAATGGTTATCGATATTTATTTATCGGCATATTTCTAGCTACAAGCTAGGTTGCATTTGAGGTATTCCCTTGACTGTCAAATTTCTGTGACATGTTTTGGGTATTCTTTACGTTGTTGAATTATAGTTATAAGTTAATGTCTAAAATAGTCGGTGAGATTGTAAATAGCGCATGATTGTTGAATTGTTTAACTTTCTGTCAATTTTATAGTATATTATATAAAATTAATGAATTGTAATTTTTTATAGTTCCCGCTAAAATTTAGTTTGTTTAACTTTGTATTGTATCACATGTGTATAAATGGAAGTTTTAATATTTTTTGTGAAAATGCTTACAAAATAGGTTAACAAATTGAAATAGGAATTTATTGTATGTTAATTAAGAATTCTGAAATCGGCAACATAAATTATATGACAAATTTATATTTAAATGAGAGACTTTTATATAGTGTTTGTGATGTGCGTCAAATTAGCGTCGGCCTGTTAGCAACGAAAACGGGAACGGTGGAATATGGAACATGGGGCCCTTTTTATTTTTAAATTTTCTCGCTATTTGGGGACCAAATCGAAAAATTTAAAATGCTAGATTGTTAAGAAAGAAAAGATCTATCGAGCTAGGTAGGTTTGGGACACATACGAGGCCTATTAGTATTTCAAAAATGCATTTGAAAAATCGTGTCCCCACAATTTTGTTAACTGCTCCCCTCACAGAGGTTGTGCCAATATGCACGATAAACTAAGCTATAAGGGGTTAATTCAAGCTCCTTGTCTGAAAGTTTCATCAAAATCAAACCCACAGTTTTCGAGAAAAAAGCCTAACAGTACCGCAACCTCGGATTTTCCCCATACAAAAAAGAGGGGCAAAAATGAAATTACCTACTGCTCCACTTCTAGAGGTTGTGCCAACATGCACGGTATATGGGTAGATAGGGGATAATCTAGGGACTGTTCTGTGAAAGTTTTATCAAAATCAAACCCACAGATTTTGAGAAAATTGCTTAACAGTTGGGGGTGTTAAAAAGGTTATTAAAAGGCCGTTTAATCCAGAAACGGAACCATTGGATACTAAGACATAAACCACAATGTAAACAGCTTAGCCATGACAATCATTCGACGCTAACTTTCTATAACTTTATACAGCTCTCACAGAGGTTGTGCCAACTTGCACGGTATCGCATTCGAAGGGGCATCATTATAGCTAATTTCTGAATAAATTACAGGCAATTCAAACCCACAGTTTTCGAGAAATTCAAGTCTTTTCAATTATGGCTTTTGCCACGCGGTCACACTGTCAAGGCCTGCGATAAATCGTATGACCCGTGACATCAACCATCAAAATATATATGCAAACTTTAATTAATTCATACAGCTCTCACAGAGGTTGTGCCAACTTGCACGGTATCGCATTCGAAGGGGCATCATTATAGCTAATTTCTGAATAAATTTCAGGCAATTCAAACCCACAGTTTTCGAGAAATTCAAGTCTTTTCAATTATGGCTTTTGCCACGCGGTCACACTGCCAAGGCCTGCAATAAATCGTATGACCCGTGACATCAACCATCAAAATATATATGCAAACTTTAATTAATTCATACAGCTCTCACAGAGGTTGTGCCAACTTGCACGGTATCGCATTCGAAGGGGCATCATTAAAGCTAATTTCTAAATAAATTTCAGGCAATTCAAACCCACAGTTTTCGAGAAATTCAAGTCTTTTCAATTATGGCTTTTGCCACGCGGTCACACTGTCAAGGCCTGCGATAAATCGTATGACCCGTGACATCAACCATCAAAATATATATGCAAACTTTAATTAATTCATACAGCTCTCACAGAGGTTGTGCCAACTTGCACGGTATCGCATTCGAAGGGGCATCATTATAGCTAATTTCTGAATAAATTACAGGCAATTCAAACCCACAGTTTTCGAGAAATTCAAGTCTTTTCAATTATGGCTTTTGCCACATGGTCACACTGCCAAGGCCTGCGATAAATCGTATGACCCGTGACATCAACCATCAAAATATATATGCAGGCCTTGACAGTGTGACCGCGTGGCAAAAGCCATAATTGAAAAGACTTGAATTTCTCGAAAACTGTGGGTTTGAATTGCCTGTAATTTATTCAGAAATTAGCTATAATGATGCCCCTTCGAATGCGATACCGTGCAAGTTGGCACAACCTCTGTGAGAGCTGTATGAATTAATTAAAGTTTGCATATATATTTTGATGGTTGATGTCACGGGTCATACGATTTATCGCAGGCCTTGGCAGTGTGACCGCGTGGCAAAAGCCATAATTGAAAAGACTTGAATTTCTCGAAAACTGTGGGTTTGAATTGCCTGAAATTTATTTAGAAATTAGCTTTAATGATGCCCCTTCGAATGCGATACCGTGCAAGTTGGCACAACCTCTGTGAGAGCTGTATGAATTAATTAAAGTTTGCATATATATTTTGATGGTTGATGTCACGGGTCATACGATTTATCGCAGGCCTTGGCAGTGTGACCGCGTGGCAAAAGCCATAATTGAAAAGACTTGAATTTCTCGAAAACTGTGGGTTTGAATTGCCTGAAATTTATTTAGAAATTAGCTTTAATGATGCCCCTTCGAATGCGATACCGTGCAAGTTGGCACAACCTCTGTGAGAGCTGTATGAATTAATTAAAGTTTGCATATATATTTTGATGGTTGATGTCACGGGTCATACGATTTATCGCAGGCCTTGACAGTGTGACCGCGTGGCAAAAGCCATAATTGAAAAGACTTGAATTTCTCGAAAACTGTGGGTTTGAATTGCCTGAAATTTATTTAGAAATTAGCTTTAATGATGCCCCTTCGAATGCGATACCGTGCAAGTTGGCACAACCTCTGTGAGAGCTGTATGAATTAATTAAAGTTTGCATATATATTTTGATGGTTGATGTCACGGGTCATACGATTTATTGCAGGCCTTGGCAGTGTGACCGCGTGGCAAAAGCCATAATTGAAAAGACTTGAATTTCTCGAAAACTGTGGGTTTGAATTGCCTGAAATTTATTTAGAAATTAGCTTTAATGATGCCCCTTCGAATGCGATACCGTGCAAGTTGGCACAACCTCTGTGAGAGCTGTATGAATTAATTAAAGTTTGCATATATATTTTGATGGTTGATGTCACGGGTCATACGATTTATCGCAGGCCTTGACAGTGTGACCGCGTGGCAAAAGCCATAATTGAAAAGACTTGAATTTCTCGAAAACTGTGGGTTTGAATTGCCTGTAATTTATTCAGAAATTAGCTATAATGATGCCCCTTCGAATGCGATACCGTGCAAGTTGGCACAACCTCTGTGAGAGCTGTATAAAGTTATAGAAAGTTAGCGTCGAATGATTGTCATGGCTAAGCTGTTTACATTGTGGTTTATGTCTTAGTATCCAATGGTTCCGTTTCTGGATTAAACGGCCTTTTAATAACCTTTTTAACACCCCCAACTGTTAAGCAATTTTCTCAAAATCTGTGGGTTTGATTTTGATAAAACTTTCACAGAACAGTCCCTAGATTATCCCCTATCTACCCATATACCGTGCATGTTGGCACAACCTCTAGGAGTGGAGCAGTAGGTAATTTCATTTTTGCCCCTCTTTTTTGTATGGGGAAAATCCGAGGTTGCGGTACTGTTAGGCTTTTTTCTCGAAAACTGTGGGTTTGATTTTGATGAAACTTTCAGACAAGGAGCTTGAATTAACCCTTAATAGCTTGGTTTATCGTGCATATTGGCACAACCTCTGTGAGGGGAGCAGTTAACAAAATTGTGGGGACACGATTTTTCAAATGCATTTTTGAAACACTAATAGGCCTCGTATGTGTCCCAAACCTACCTAGCTCGATAGATCTTTTCTTTCTTAACAATCTAGCATTTTAAATTTTTCGATTTGGTCCCCAAATAGCGAGAAAATTTAAAAATAAAAAGGGCCCCATGTTCCATATTCCACCGTTCCCGTTTTCGTTGCTAACAGGCCGACGCTAATTTGACGCACATGTGTTTGTGGGCTTATTTTCAAGCGAGTGATGACAAAATCAAATGCACCAGTAGTTAGGTTTGACATTCGCTGTCATCTCCAGCTGTCTAAATGCGATAGCCGCCAGCCCTGACACACGACCTATCGTATCCCAGGGCCACCACCAAAGTGACGTGGAACGAAAAAGACGAAGCGACACGAAGCCGAGGCAGCACGTCAGATTCACATTCAGATTCAGATTCCACTTCGCCTGCTCACATTTTCCAGGTCAGTCGGTGCAGAAAAAGAGAAACAGCACAAAATGGTGAGTTAAACTAAAAAGCAATCGAGAGTGCCTACTTATTAAAACCATATTTGCCAGCCCGCTCCAGCAAGTTCGACGGCCGTGGGCAGCGGATCGCGCTCGCCCAGCAAATTATCGGCGCCACGTAGCGCCGGATCCGGAGGCGGCAGCACCCTTAAGCAGCGCAAGACCACCAGCAGCACCACGGCGGCAAGGAGTCGTGCTCCCGGCGGAGCCGGAACTGGTGGCATGTGGCGCTTCTACACCGACGACTCTCCCGGAATCAAGGTGTAAGTGCCCACAGCTCATCTATATTTAAAGTCCAACACCCCCTCTTATGACACCCCATATTATATTCCCACAGCGGACCCGTGCCCGTGCTGGTCATGTCGCTGCTCTTCATCGCTTCCGTTTTCATGCTGCACATCTGGGGCAAATACAATCGTTCTTAAGCCATTCAATTCGTAGCCAATAAAATACTTTCACCTCAACGAACGTGAACACTGTCGACGTCATCATTTCTTTCGCGATGTGATAACACGAGATCCATTCCGCTTGTTGAGGCATTGGTGTGTTTTCCACATGAAATTAATTATACCTAAGCTTAAGTTAACGACCTGTTTAAACGTAATGCATATTTTCAAAATTAAATCGTCACTTCCCAATCCGTTCGCTCGTTCGTTCGTTCGGCGGGCTGAGAATTCATTCCACAATTTATCGTGGTCATGTGCATCAGAAATTCCGCGCGCAGCAGTTGCAATTCAAATTTGTAAGACATTCAACGAAAAGTGTTAAGAACAAATAAATTTTGTATTAAACAAATGTTTGTGTGGTGTTAATGGGTGGGTGTGTATGGAAAGATTTATGAGCTACTTTGTATTTAACAGTTTTCAACTTAACAAACATCAATTTAACAACTGTTTGAACAAGCTCAAAGACACTGTGTGGTGATTTCGCCCATAAACTGAAGTTCCCTGAAGTACTTTGATCGTAGAGTGCATCTTCGTTCCCTATGATTCCGCTTGCCGCACAACAGACAGCCTTTGGTGTGTTTTAACTTTACCTTGCGGAAGTTAGGGCATTTGGTTTCAATGTGGCCTTTTTGGTCGCACAGCCTGCAGCGCTGTTTGGTTTGGTAGAAGGCGCAGTTGTGGCCCTCTTTCTGGGTGCACCTTCTGCAGTTGGTGCAGTGCACGTAGTTGGGTTTCACGCAGACATCGCAGGACTTACAGTGCCTATATGTTTGACCGTTCACCGAGGGACATTTCCCACACCTATTGCAGTGAAGGTTCCCGTTGGCCGTGCAGCAGTCACACTTTTGGCAGTATTTATAGCCCTCTTCCACAGGTAGCTGCAGCAAACTCAGTGGCACATTGGTAAACAAACGTACAGGTGATCCGCAAAACCGACTCTGCTTTCCCACGTTCGTATATCTCAGGTGATTAGTGTAGTTTATACTGTAGTCGCTCATTTCCATCTCGGGCATTTCCTGCCTTATGTGGTTAGCCGAATAGTAGGGATATATCCAGAATATGGACAGCGGCGTGGAAGGCAACTGGTTGAATCTGTTGTGGAGTTTCCTGAGGCTGCGCAGGGTGTGGGAAATCAGTTCAGTTCGACAGCCAAATGGGGGATCCGTCACTATCAGCAGTTGTTCTGGACTGAATTTGGAAATGAAGAGTACTTTTATAATGGGGATTCCTTCATATTTGGGTTACTGACTTACCTGGTACCTCCCAGGAACTTTTCAAAGGGCTTGCGATCGTAGAAAAAGTGGTTATTGCACATGTTGTAGAGACAGAACTCTTCAGGTCCCAGAAACTCTGCAAATCTCTCATCCAGATCCAATAGAAAACTTTGCAGTTTGTGGCGCAGATGGAAATGTAAACGTGGGGCTCCCATGCAGATAACCTTCCTAATTAAAGCGGTTAAAGGGTATTCAGAAATGAAGAGGTTTACCCACCTAGCTCCTATGTTTTTACACTGATTTGCCAAGAAGTTCAGAGCAGCTTCATCGAAGAAGTATTGAGCATTGACTTTGTCCTCGGAAAGCGCTGTTAGACTTAGTGTAGGATCAGGAATGGAGGGATTCCTTGATTTACTGGATGACAAGGGATAGTTCCTCACAGGAAGTGGTGTCCTAGAGGTGTGACCTCTCCACTGATCCGCCGGCAGGTGAAAATTGCAAAGTTTAGAGTCCCGGTGGGCTGAGCAGGCGTAAAATCCCTGTTCGGGAAGCTGTGATTGTCGGTAGAACAACACAGTGGGTCCATGCTCGCACCGGGGATGTTGCTCCTCGGGATCAGCATCATTTTCTTCAACTTCAAGCAGTAGTTTATCGCCTTTATTGTCAAACATTCTGCAAAAACGTGTATTTATCCTAAACAAAAACAGTAAACAAACTGTGAAAGAAGAAGAGAAAATACAGTGATCTCACTCTATAAAGTACACACTCGACGGTTGCGTGGCTTAGTGTTCATAATATTTAGACTTAGATCATTAAAATTAATATTGGAAGAATTTTACGAAATTTATCAAAAAATTGTTTTTGTTCGATTGCAGGCAAGATCAGATGAGAAATTCTCATAATCAGATATATAAGTAGCCTCATCCATAATGAAATGCATTTAAAAAATTCTACAACAAAAAATACCTCGTGATTTTTTATACTTTTTAATTTAAAATCATTTCATACTATGATTTATTCGATTACTTTTATTTTATTTTACTTTCTGGCAGTCCCAGAAATTATCGGTCAGTATCGATTTTGTTTGAACGTAAGCAAACGTAAGCAAAAACGTCCTAATTTTTCAAACAATATATATCGGCAAGCAATATGTTTTTTCTGCACCAACCCTCTCTGGTCACTCTAAAACGGCAAAAATCTATAAAAGTACGTGCAAACCCTTAAAAGTTCTTTTAAATTAAAATTTTTTCGGAGAGTCAAGTCGCGGGGTCAGGGAAAGTGAAATGGAGCAAGGCCATATAAAGGTTATGTTTTTTAAAGCAAAGAAAAGTTAAAGTGAAAGTCGGATGCAAGCGCAATGAATGGATTAAAAGTAAGTATAAACTATTTTCATTGTTTTATCACCGTTTTTTGATGAATGTTCTTTTTCTGAAGAGTCGAGTGCTAGATCGCAAGATTTGGCACTCTTCCTGTAGAAAGAATAAGAACGGCCAACTGATAAACTAAATTCATTAACCAGAGTGCATTTAAATGCAACGTGCAAGGCAATAAGTTAACCTTTTTATTGTTCTTTGTTCTAGATGTGAAAAACACGTGGTCTCGTAAGAGAGAGAGAGAGAGAGAGAGATAGCCGCCATTGCCCGCCATGGGGCATCTCGTGAAAGAGAGAGAAAGCCAACCGGCATTGCCCTCCATAGGTATGTAATACTCTCTTTATATTCTCTTAATAATTTTCATGATGATAAGTTCAATCTGAACAAAGTGCTGTTGATCTACAACTTAAAAATTAAACCAAAAGGATTCTGATAAAACAAATACTTAAATAATAATTGAAACCAAAATGAGCAGCGACAATAACCCAAATTTTTATTTTTAGGTCTGCATATTGACAAGCCGCCATCTTTATGGATAACTCTGGGGAAAAATGTGATCTAGGTAAGATATACGTGACTTAAGTCTTTATTTTAATATAATTTTTCTGATGATAAGTTTAATCTGAACAAAGTGCTGTTGATTCACAACTTAAAATTAAACCAAAAGGATTCTGATAACCAAATAATAGATTTTAGATTTAAAAAAAAATGGCGTCGAAGACCTAACCTTACTTTTCTTTTCTTTCAGAATTTGTGGGGCTCGAGAAACTTCTTCGATTGCAATTTCTTCGGCATGAGGTAAGTTTTATTTGAAATTCACAAGATAAATAATTTATCTGATGACAAGTAATTACCGTTTGATTTTCGTGATATTAAACCCAATGGCTGCTATTTAATAGTAACTGATAATATCTTAAAGCAATAAGATTTTATTTTTTTAGGGCTTTTACTAATTATATTATTTTCATTCTTTTTAGATTTTATCATGGTGCTAGAAGAATACAATTACAAAAGAATCAATCCGGCATTATAATGGTGAGAAATTGTTTTATATTTTCTACAGATTTTTTGTATTGATGAATATAATTACCGTACGACTTCTTTGATTAAATCTAAATGGCTGCAATTTTTGCAACTGAATTCAACGAAGTTTTAAAATACATTTGTAATATTTTCCAATTTGCTAACTTAATTTGCTTTATTTTGCAGTTTTGACAAGACTTGATGGAAACTGATACTAAATTGACCTTTTGAAGTTAACCAAGGTAAGATTTAAAGTTTTGATTTTGTAATATGCTGCAATAGTTTATATGATGAATACCTTTTATCTATTAACTTTCGTTCTACTGAGTAGAAAATGCGGAGAAATATTACTGATACCTAAAAAAAAAAGCAGCTTATTGTTTTAACAATGTATTTCATGTGGATTGTATAACAATGAATTCTTTTTTTTACAGACTGCTCTGCTGATTTCTTTATCGCGCGAGTTCTTATTGTCCTGCGAGTCTAATCTCTAAGGTATGTTTATTTGCTAGTATTACATTTAAAATGTTTTATATGATGTTACTTCTAGTATAGTTCATTAGAAAAACACATGTTACCAACTTTTTGAAGCTGATTAAATTTTAAAATGTAGTTTTTGCGTGACCTTTACTTGAAATGATTTAAAACGAATATTTTGTTTTTATTTCAGGTGTAAGTTGGATCGACATTTTATATCAAGGCCCTTTAAATATGTGTTGGATGGAAGTGCAATCAAAAGGTTAGTATAAATTTGTGTTGCTTATAAAACAATCTAAAAGCGTTGCTGTGATGATATTTTCCTAACTCAGGATTCCCTCTTCTGAGTAGAACCCTAAAACAACCATGCTGTTCATTTTCCCTGTCTGAAATCAAACGCTTTTAAAATAAAATTGGTTCTTATTTATTTTAAAGCTTTTTTAACAAAAACAATTTTATCATTTTCAGCCTTTTCTGCGGAATTCTTCAATAGCGCCAAGATATCCCTGCAATTATAAAGGTGAATATTACTTTTCTGATTTTCTAAAAAATTGATTTAAAATGATGAAAATTTCCGTCCGTGGAATTTGAACAAAGTAAAATCATGCTGACATTTGTCTTCTTCTTTCCCCATCTGAAAAACCTTTTAAAATGTGTTTTATTGTTGTTTATTATCATAAACTAATGTGTATTTCTTTTCTGTTACAGAAATCCGAAAGTAGTGGTGAAAACTGGATTTTTGAAGATAATAAATAACTCTGAGTATATAGGTAATTAATAAAACCATTTGCTCATAGTTTGAAATGATGAAAATAATGTCCGTAATTTTTGGACTGAGAAACACCATGCTGTTTAAATGTCATTTCCCCAACTGATAAATCATTTCAAATATGAGATTTTAAACAAATAAAGTTCGCATTATTTATAAATTGTATTACAGATTGCTGTAGGAGGTCCATTTAATCGAGATCTTTGAAGATATGGTCCTGATTTAACTGAAAAGGTAATTATTATCATGAATTGGCTTTGTTTCCTTGAAATGATGAAAATACCGTCCGTGGTTTATCAACTTAGAAACACCATGCTGTTTGAAAGTCATTTCCCCAACTGATAAAATATTTTGAAAATTAAATATTTACCTCTTTTGAATGTTTGCTAATTATTTCTTTTCTTCTGTTGCAGGTTGTATTTTAAATCTGTATGACCACTGAAAACCATATTGCCCCATAATAAAAAAAAAAAATAAAGAACTGAATGTAAATCAAAATGGCTTTCTTTTGGGTAACCGGGTTTTTTTTCTCTTATAGGCAGGGCTAACTTTTTTCCTAAAGAAAAAATTTAAAAAGTAAATATTTTGGGGTGCTCAGATTTATTTTAAAGTTCAATTTGTAATAAATGTGTGGCGCCATCTGTGGTTTTTATTCTGCATTTTATGTGGCGCCATCTGGAGTTATGTAGCTGAAGCTTGAAGAGCGAGTCGCTATCAGAAGTGGCAACGCTATTATCTTTTTGCCAACATCTGGCCACATAAACTTAAATTTAAAAAGTGGCGGGTACTCCTCTCCATTTGTTTATGTGTAAAATATATTGATCTATAGAAAATATTTTGTGGGCTGATTTTTCCGACACCTTCGTTGGCACTTGCCCTCTGTCATGACTTCCATTCCCAGAAGCTTTCCTCGGTGTCTCCAATTTTTCTTTGCATTTTTAAGGGCGTCAAACAGCAATTTATCATGCATGTAGTGCTGTCCACATAAGCGGAAGTCGCCACCATGCCCTGCCATCCGTATAAGCAGCAACAATAACAACAACAACATGAGCAATAAGAAGAAACTCCGCCCACTTTGGAGAGGCATGGCGGAGGGGGAGGGGTGTCACAACTATTTTCAACATTGTGTACACATTTCATTCATTGAGTGCATGTTGAGCACGAGCATATTTACAACAAGTTACGACGATGTGTGCCAGGCACTTTATGCGCTTTTATGCGATTTTATGGGGCATTTTAAATGACAGTTAGTTGGTTTTTTATTAAGTTGATAATTATGTTGGGTGTGCGGGGAGTGTGGGAGGTGTGTGCGGGGGTGTGCAATCAAAACCCAATGAATTCAATTGAAAATTTCCCATTTCACCATCATGCTCAAGTTATTTACAACTTCACTTGGGGCTGCGATGAAGAAGAGAGGGTTTCCGATGGGTAGTTTTGTGTGCAGTCGAAAAAGTAATTCGGAAAAAGCAATTTATTTCAAAATTCTTTTGAAAATGAAGAATAAATCAATAAAATATTAGTGAATTTTCATACATTTTTTAGTAATATTTTCGAAATCAATTTACAAATTCTATCGTTTTATTTTAATTTTAAGGCCATTTCCATTCTGATAAATAAGTATCGTTTTTTTTCTCAAAAAGCTACTGATTTATAGGATTTTTAAAATAGAAAATCAAGCTTTTATTTCGTTTATAAAAATTTATATTCCTCTCCTAAAATTTGTATTTTCGATAATTTTTTTAGACTTTTTTTTTCAGTGCCTTGCGTGGTTTGCTGAAGGCTGGCAGGAAGTACTCGCCGTTGTCGTCGGACGCTGCCAAGTCATCGAACTTTTTGCACTCGATATGTGACGACAAGGACATTGCCGCTGCGCTTTTCACTCCCGAATCTGATGGAGATAAGGCCAAGGAGTCTGTCGCCGCTCCGCTCCGAGTGGCTCCTGCAGGAAAACTTTGCCTTTCTGGCTGTCTTGGTTTCTGGGCCCTATCTTCTTGTGTCTTCTGGGCCCAGAGTCTGGTTTTTGCGGTTAACTGGCGAGCAGCAGGGCCACAGCCAGCTGCTCAAGTTGGCCAGCGTTTCTGTGACAATTTATTTTCTGTGCTTTGGCATTCGCTTTTCAACAAATCGAAAAACTATTAAATTGGGCTGAAAGCCAGCAAACGAACGCCAAAGAGCCGGAGGAACAAACAAAAGCAAAAGAAATGAGGTAGAAGCATTTATTTCCGCAAAGTATTGAAAATCGTATGCCCTATTTTGGGGGATAATTAGGATTGAGGCAAGGTTGGCACACAAGGACGATTTGTGTTCTAAACTTTTAGCTTGAGGCTTTTTTGGTTTATTAATAATTAATTCAAGGAGGTACATTTTGAAGGTAACCTTAAAATAAATTGAGAAATTCTATATGTTATCTGGGGTATATATTTATTTATTTATTTTATTGAATATTAATTTAAAATGTTCTTATGTTGTAGTTGTTAACTCTGAAATTCAAACTTCGATTGTTTAAAAAATATGATTTTAAAATGTTTCCATGCAACCCCTTGGTAAATAATGAAAGATATCCTTAAGTATTTCTAAAAAATATATTTTAATCTCATCAGATGTTTCCTTGAACTGTCATTAGAATGCATTTCCGAATCTGGGTTACCCGTGTAACCTCGCTCGAATGGGGAATTCCTTTGATGATTCCGCTCCCGGGTTTCGAGCCACATTCCGTGTCCTGCTAAGGGTATTCAAAGGCGAACTCTGACCGCTTTTTGCCAGGACTTACTTACTATACACTGGCAGAGAATTCGCTTTGTTGACAGTCACGCGACTTCTCCACGCTTTGGCACATTTGATTTGGCTGCAACTTTTCACCTCGGAGCGGAAGAACTGCGACGACATCAAGTTAATTGGATGGCAAAATGGGGGGTGCTTTCAAGGGGGCTTTTCCAGGGGATGGATGTGGGTGAGACTACCAAAGGACCAAAAGGACGAATCTCCGGTGGGCCAGATGACAAGTGTGGCCAAGGCAACGGAGCCCGATTAGAATCTAAGCCAGGGGAAGCACACAAAACACACATCACACATGGCATTCAGGCATTTTGAGGCCAGCAAACAGACATTAACACGTGAGCGCGGTTATCTGTAGGATCTGTAGGCAAACCGGCAATCTCAGGATCTTAAAATCTCTGAATCCCCGAGTGTGTTTGCTACTTGGCACCTCTTCAAAACAAATACCCTGCAAATTCAAAGGCAGTGCGACCGGCCCCTTCGAGTGACACTAAACTAATTAAAAGTTTGTCAGACTCCGGGTTCTTTTTGGGATGGCCAGTCCATATGGCCCCGACTACGGGTTATTGGCATAAATTACGCATTGAAATCACGTAAGTGTCGGGGGCAAAATTTAATCAGAGAGTGCGGCGGCTAAACAAGAATTAAATTTAGCAACATAACCGAATCAAAAAAAGGACCTCTCCAGGAACACGGACACGGAGCAGCAAAAAATTTGCACACAAACTACGTGACTTCAATTCCTCAGTGCGGCTGTAAAAAATATACGAAAAAACAGAGAAAAGCCGACAGGGTGTACGAGCGTTTGTATCCATGTGGTTACCTCTCAATGGCTTTTGTTCGGCCCCGTGTACAACTTTTAATCCTTTGCACTTTTGTCAATGTCAGAGAGGAGATAGACTCAGATTTAGATTCTGGCCAATGCCAAACAATATAAAAAATAGAGGAAAGTGGCCTTTCCTGCGGCCAACGAAGATGCAATACCCTATATTTTAATTTGGCATACAAATCTTCAAAGGTTTCATAGATCTTTGATGGGAATATGCACATGGTACTACACTCAGAAGAATTTTTTGGTAAAATTGAGCAATATAATAGTTAAATGATCCAAACTCATCGAATTGTCAACCTAACCAACGAAATAGTTACTCTTCCAACAACTAAATACACTAAACTTACCATTTTATAATAGTTTTACCTTAAATAGTAACAGAGTAGTAAATAGTAACCACAAAACTTACCTTTTAATAGTCGTTTTACTATTGAATATAACCAAATAGTAAATACAGACAAATATACACACAACTTGCCATTTTATGATAGTTTTAATATTACCACAGCAACAAAAAAATCCACGTAACTATTTTTAATAGTTGTTAACGTTTTTGTTGTAGTTAAGTAACTATTTGCATTAGTCAATTTCACATTTAACAATATATTGTGTGTCAATCTAGTTAGCTTATGTGTCAATATTAACTGGGAAACATAACCCCCAAGGCTTTGTGAAAGTATTTTTATTAAATTCTCTTAAAAAATAATCACTCTAAAATTTAATCCGATTCAATTTATTACAAACCCGATGTAGAAGCCCAACCGAAATACCCTCACCGAAAGTGACAGCTCGAAAAAGGTCGAAATACGGGGAATTGCACTCTGTTTGGGAAATAGTTTTTTACCACAATGACATTTCAGTTTTCCGCACACGGACGGATTTCCGCAGCACGAGAAGATGGCCAATAAAATTAATTGATTTTGAGGTTTCTTTTTTTCCTTACGGCTGCTGATGCTGCAGCTGTGTTAACTTTTTGTTGGTGATTTTGATTTCTGCTCCTCTGTGACAGTTGACCGCATTTGATTGGCGGCGGTGGCATCCGTCGAGAAAAGGATCCAGTGGCTTTAAGGTGACCCAGGGACCTCTAATTAGATTAGTTTCGATTTTGGACTGCCTGTTTGTGGCACTTATATTCGGCATATAAAAGAAAATAAATAAATAGAAATAGTTATAAGCCATCGTTGATTTCCTTTTAAACTGTTGGTCAAGCGTATTCCCTTTTAAAATTCAAAATAAATATCAATAAATGGCAAATAAATAAAATATGGCGTGTAATTGGCGTATCGATATTCGGATTAATTTTTTACGTTTTTCCTTCCTGGCCATTGAGCACTTGGCCAAAAAAGTGGAAGGGGAAACCGGCAATTGTGAGCGTAAACGCAAACGTAAATGCTTTCAACAACTCTCCCTTTGCAACTGGCATTGATTTCCATTTCCATTTTCCGTTTTTATTAACAAGCATTTAAATGCAATGAAGTGAAATGCGAATCTCTCAATGTGTATAAATATTTCTGGCTGGCCCTTTGTGGAATTATTTTTATGGCTTGCCCTATAGTGTAGATGGCATTTCATGGCTGATTTAACCCGACTGCCTAACAGTTTCGTCTGGGGATATGGATTCAGTTTTCCCAACCGCTTTTCCGATTCAGACTCAGATTCAGATTCAGATTCAGATTCTTCTGCTCCTGTTATTGCTGTTGTTATTCATTCGCTCACATTTTTTTTATTCCCATACATACATATGTCAGTGGCGTAAATGAAAACGCAAACGGGGCGTATGATTAATGTGGTTTACATATGAAAACGAGACTCCGTCCCAGAACTCCATTTCACCATTTCACCATTTCTCCATTT